CCCTGGGGGTCTTCAAAAAGAGGCTAGATAATCACCTAGCCGGGGTCGTTTGACCCCAGCATTCTTTCCTGCCCATGGCAGGGAGGCGGACTTGATGATCTGTCCAGGTCCCTTCCGACCCTACCAACTATGAAACTATGAAACATGTCACGAGTTTTGCTTGTCCACAGCTTGAGGTGAAGTTTCTCCCAAACCCCTGCACTTATCTCCTTGAAACTTGGCAGGCTTTGTGGTCTCACCAGGGGCCACTACCCCTGCAGTTTTCACCCCTCTGTGGTATAACACATGCGCATGACATGAGTTTTGCTTTCAAGAATTTGGGGTGCAGTTTCCCTCAAACCCCAGCACCGATCTTCTTGAAACTTGGCAGACTTTGTGGCCTCCAAAGGGGCTAGCATCCCTGCAGTTTTCACCCCCCTGTGTTGCAACACATACACATGACATGAGTTTTGCTTTCAACAATTTGGGGTATAGGTCCCCCCAAACCCCTAAACTAATCTTCTTGAAACATGGCAGGTTTCATGATCCCAGCAGAGGCTACCAATCCTGCAAGTTTCATTCAAATCACACAAAAAATAACAAAGTTATAGATATTTCAGTGATTCCCCATTATACCCTATGGTCGGATCTCCAAGGCGGCTCTGAAGCTTCGGAGTCGCTTTGGACAGATCAAAGTGGGAACCCGGTCCAGAGCTCCAGATTGGATCCCTGGCATCTGAAGTGGCCAGATCCGAAGCCAGATTGAATAGCTGCCTACTTGCACAGGCCTAGTAACCAGGGGTAGTACAGTAAGGCAACTGACATCACAAAGAGACAAAGACACTGTATTCTTTTTTTAATTTTTTATTTCTTTCCAGTGTGGCCCGTTAGGGTAAACTTTACTCTTGATTAAGTTAACAACTTTATACGTTGTGGAATGGGTAAGGGATATAGGGGAAGGAGGCGGCCTTTGAAGTTGAGGTTGAGAATTTCAGAACTGAAGCTATTTGCATACTCTTCCTCCCAGTTTAAATATTATATCATCAAGTCATGGTGGGTGAGGGTGCAAGAGTTTAGTCAAACTGCAGATACAAATGTCCCAGGGATCATTATTGGCTGTCTCACCAATAGAGTGTGTTAGAGGCCCAGACCCCAAACTATATTGGGTAAAGTCTGGATGCCATGACAGGCACGTTCCACACCTCATCCCTCTCAGATTTTGGAAGGCACTTCAGACTCTAAAACCTTAGATTGAGTGCTGTAGCTATTTTTAGAAATCCCGTATTGGTACTCTCTTTGCATTTTGTTAAATCTGCAGTGAAAGTGTTTTTAAATGGAGCAACATGTTGGGTCATCATCTGAGACTGCCATAACATGGAATACATAGCATAGTGCAGGTAAAATCATGGAGCAGGAGACATACAATTCTCCTCCAAGGAGTTCAGTTACAAACCTGCAAGGCTCAAGTAAAGTTTCCAGCTCTTTTCAGTTTTTCAAAATCACTACCTGTCAGCACTGGTAGATTGTGCTTTTGAAGAGGTATCGTGGCTGTGATAGCGGCTTTATATCTAAGCAGGCACTGAGCCATACCCAATGTGGAGTTCCACCTGGTAGAAATATCTTGTATGAGAGGTTCTTGTTTCTGTCCACTTGCAGCATGTTGTATTTCTAGCTTTGCACTGTTAACAGGACTGTGTTTAAAATGGCCTGCAATTTTTCTACATTTTGCCAACATGTTTTCAAAACCACCATTACTGTATGCTCCTGTGATGGATCCCTGCAGACAGAGTGATGCACATCAGGTGTTCAAAAGGCAAAAGACTGGCTGCTGCTTTCATATTAGGTGCACTCATCAGTACTATTGTGGTTACCTTTTCTTGAATATTCTATTCTTTAGTAACATCCCAGAAATGCTCTGCACATGTTTCAGTATAATGTCTCTCTTTGGTATGCATTGCTGCTAAAGCAAATGACTGCAGTGTCCATGCAGTGTCAGTCAGGTGTACTGTGCCTCCAAGATAGCTGTGATTGCTCAAGGATGTACAGTGATTACTAGTCAAAGCAACAGCTTATGTATTTTTAGAAGCTCCAACTTAGTAGTCTTCTTGTTGTGATATAGATTCATGATGCAATGGTTCCTTGGGAAGGCAGCGCATATGACTGATTTAGAAGATGCAATTTGAATAATCTCTCTTAGCCTTCTGTAGTTTACAATGTTGAGTGGTCTGCAGTCCATAGCTATCCATTTTGCAATAGCATTGGTTAAACTGTTGTACTTCATTTAATATATGGGCTTGTAGTGATTCTGAAGCTGAGTAAGTGTACTCTGTCGTGGCTCACAGGATTCATTTGCTGTCGATGGGTTATCTGTAGCAAGAGAAATGGTGGCAAAAGTGTTTAGCTCGTAGGTGGTACTGCAGACTTGAGGTGCTTTGATGATATTGGAATTCAGCCTTGCAATAGCTACAGATAATCATCTTTTTATTCAGAGAACCATCCACAAGTTTTTAAAAAATAAACTTTCCATTCACAATACCCAAACTTTTGCTGCCTTGCACCGTTGCATTTTTCTGATATTTAATCACTCAGTGCCATAAGAACAGAGTTGAACTGTGCTAATTTCTGCCTAGTGATTAAGTACAATCAGTGGAGACAGACAAAATGGGTGTGTGCAATTAATGCTCATTAAAAAAATTAATGCATTAATTTGTTTTGTGTTAATAACATACATTAACTGCGATTCACTGACAGCCCTAGTTCCAGTATAGCATTAACTGCAGTATGAGGCAAGCTAATCAGAGGAGAGATTGTGGAAAGTCCTGATGTAAAGTCAGCAACGTTTCCCCATTCAGTTTTTGATAAATATATTTCTGAACGAAGTGCAGTAGAAACTAATGTGAAAAGTGATTCTTATGAATATTTTGTACTGCAAGTTGTCAAATGCTTTTGAACTTTGGAAATGGAAATTATAATCTGTTAATAAACTACAACCATAGTAATGTGACAGCCTTGCCCTAATGGGAACTAAAACAGCTTCATACTCCTCAGATGCCCCTGCCCCTGGCATGCTTAAGGCCTCATGTGCCCTTAGGCATCCTCTGTAGTATCCACTGTTGACTCTGGACTTGGACCCAGCACCTATACCTTTGTTCCAGGTGAGCACAACCCTCAGACTGACCACAACACCTGCCAGTTGATACTAGGTGAATTTATTGATACTGAATAAGAACAAAAAAGCAACAATACAAACAATCAAACAATTCTATATTTACCAATTCTAGGACTGTCATCAGAGTCAAAGTACATCTGGTCAGGGTGCAGGCTCCACTCTGAGGCTCTCTCTCTTAGGCATCAGCAGTCTGGACGTGGGATGCTGAGGCCTACAGCCCCCCTCCAGTGGGGTGCATGAGACAGGCCTTCAGTCCATGGTGGCCTCAGGGACCCTTCCCGGGGGCAGGGACAGGGATGGGGACCCCTCTCATGGAGGAGATGGGGTAGGGACAACAAAGAAGGACAGGGAGGGATGAGAGATACCCTTTGTTAACTTCAAGTCTCTTCTTTTGTATTCTCCTTCCCCCTTGATGACTTCATCTGTGGCTATCTCTGGTTGGTTGTCTCTCTGTGGTCACATGCCCACGTAGCCTTCCAGGCCTTCTCCTAATTTGGTCTATTCCCCCAAAATCAGGACTTAGGTCCCCTTGCTCTTTGAGGCCTTGTTGCTGGTGTCACTTAACTTGTGTTATGGGACTGTATGGTACATACTTCCTTTGGTTCCCAGGCTGTTTCCTAGACTGTGTGTCCTTGTTGGCCTTGTTGCGCTAGACAGCCTGCCTGACTTGAAGGCTGTGATCTTGTGTTATGGGATGCCTCCCTTCATTCTTAGGCTACGTCCATCCATTGGCCTTGTTGGGCTAGACAGCTTGTCTACTTCCAGGGCTATAAGAAGCTGTGCATGTGTCTTCCAAGCTCTTTAGAAATCCAGTTAACCCCTGCTGCCCATCTTGACCCCTTATAATGCATATATCTATACCTATAAGCCAATTCCCAAAAAACAGGCCTTTAAATACCGTTTCTAAGCCAACATCCACATGACACTATACCAACTCCTAGTTTGACATTTTTAATAATAACATAAACACAAGCCCACTGGTAACCTAACAAAGCTCTTCCCTCGCTGGGTCTCAACTTTCCTGCAAGTTCCACTTCCTCTTTACTTGCAGCTCTCAGGGACTTCATGGGTGCCAGTCAGTCCCCCTCCTACAGCCATCCTGCTCAGAAGCTCCTCTCCCTGCTACCTGAGTAGCCAGACTGCCTGCCTGCTCTCAGGCACTAGTCTTGTGTGTAGGGGTATACCTAACTCAAGGTGATGGCCAGCCAATTACATGGGCAGATCACATGGCTGGCTGCCATTTCCAAGTGCTGAGTACGGCAAGGCCCCCCCACACCTCTGAGTGGCAGAAGGGTCCACTAGCCCTGCCCGCCCCCCCCAGATTGCCAGATGGCCCAAAACTACAACTTAATTACACTGATTAAACTGAGGTGTGCAAGCAGCCACTGCTGGCAAGGAGCCAGGCCAAGGCTCTGAGGGGCCTGGTACTGTCACTGGCAACCTCCTAGCTTCCTGCCATGGCTGGCCCAGGCCTGGGCAAGCCCCTGCCACTGGCTCTAGAGCCTGGGCTGCGTGCAGCAGGGAGTCTGCAAGCAGCTGCCTGTCACAGGTGGTTGGGCCCAGGCAAGCTCCTGCCAGCAGCCACAGAGCCCAGGGCTGCTTGTAGCCTTCTTGCTGCCTGCTGCGAGCAGCCCTGCCCCCCCTCTTTTCCCCTTCTCCCTCTCCCCTCCCCTCTGCTCCCCACTTCCCCCATTCTTCAAGACTGCAGGGGTTCCCTCTGCTTGCCAGTAAGGATTTGGGGGGGGGGAGGGGGGTTGCAGTGAGCCTGAAATTGCAGAGCCCACCATTTCTCACAGAAAATGCCTGATTTTACATTTATTTTGAAAAGTGCAGTCGCGCTTGCAGTAGGTCCCTACTTATGTGCCTCCAAAGTCCCAACCCTAAGCTGCAGCCATGGCTCTGTCAGGTGGCTCTGTAGCCATGCACAGAGGTTTCCATTTAGGCTTGATGGCTAGCGTGCCTTCCTCTGCTGGGCTGAACTCAGCTGTCTGCAGTTGTTCCTTCTGGGCTGTCTGGAGATCTGCTCCCAAGCTGCTTGGATGCCTGCCATCTGTGCAGTTATAGCCACTCTCTCAGGAACAGCTCCTATCCTGGCTACTACCACCTGCTTGTTTCACTACACCTGGCCCTTGTTCAGCTTAGGGGTATCATATATCCAGTATCAAAAGAGAAGACACCTGTGGAGCGGGAGGGAGGAGGGATATATGAGTGTGGAGCGGAACAGTGATATTCCTGTGCCCTGCCTCTGCCCTCACTCCTAAGCCCCTGCCCCACCAGCCCTGCCAATGCCCCTCACTCCCAACCCACAGCCTCCTGCCCCAACACTGTCGGTGCTCTGCACTCCAGACCCTCAGCCCCCTGCCTGTCCCAGCACTGCACATGCACATACATGCACAGTCACTCACTCGCTCTCTCTTACCTGGGAGCAACTTGCTGGCAACCACATGCAGAGCAGGTGACCCCCAAAAGCCAATCACCTTGCCTACTGCTCCCATCCCCAAGCAGCCAAGATGCTAGTACCCCGGAAAGCACAGGTAAAGCAAAAACCTGGACATTTGTTCGCATTTTAAAAACCCGCCCAGACACAAGGACAGGAGGCCAAAAAAGAGGACATGTCCAGGAAAACCCAGACATAGTAACCCTAGTTCAGCTGCCCGCACCACCCAGCAAGCTTAGCCTGAAGCAGCATCCCTTAAAGTAACAGAAGTCTCTGACTCCCTCTTACAACTTAATTATTCCCAATTTTTTTTTGCAGAGTGACAGGAGTATACTCATCTCAGTTCAAACATTCAGTGCATAGGAAATCAGTGCTGCTGCTTCAGCTGATGCACAGAGGAATGATTTCCTTCTCTGTCCACTACATGTATGCTACTGTGAATTACAGTGAACCCGCAAGTGTTTCAGTGGTTAACCAGAGGTATGATATTAGTACTTTGAATAACTCTTGGTTTACTGATTATGCTGTGCTGTACTATCATGCTTAAGGCAGGCAAAATTAAAATACCAAATGATGAAACTAGGAATAGAATGCATCTTAAACTGTTGGGGTGAGGGGGAGAGAATAAACACTAAGAATTATAAAGAAATGTTGAAATACAACTTAATTTTTTTTCAAAATTATTTTCTTTGCACATATAAGCTGAAAACTTGTGACTACTAGTACTGAATTGATATTTCACCTTTTCTTCTAAGTAAAGCTATATAGTTCTTATACATTGCTTTCACATCTGTGGGTATACCGTGTTTCTCAAGTCACTTCCTTTCAGTGTATGAAAAAAGTGAGATTTTCTGTTGAGATCTTTCAAAAGTGTCTGAATATAAAACCTATTGGTATCACATGTTCTTCGCTCCCTAGGAGCTTTTGCAAATTCCACCCTGCCTGTTTACCTTTCTACTTTTTTCATTGGCCATCACTCTTATTTGCTTGGCTTTTTGTTTGATCTGCATTTACCACTTCAACAAGCGTCCTTTCTCTCTATAAATTAGTCCTAATGGCAATGTTGCAAGACATGCACTTTATTTTCTGCAATGCAAATCCTTTCCTAAGTGATGTACTGCAAGCAGCTTGGCCTTGAACTTTATGGCTAATGTGCATATAGAGTATGTGTAGAGGAAACAATATATTTCCCATTTACATCGACATGACTGCATTTGTGTTTGCATGACCTGGGATTTCCCACCGCTCTAAAGTTCATTTAGCGCCTTAAACTAACACTACTCAGAGATATGTTAATTTGCGGCACTCTCCAGTTATGCCGCTCCAACTGTTGATTTGAGAATCCAAAGACTTCAATTAATCCCTTTGCCATGAGGGGGTGCTGTGTTCCAGCCTTTAGCCAGTAGGTGCTGCTGTGTGTTCTTTTTTAACCTCCTCACCCCTCCCTCCTTCCTTCCTTACAGCATGTGAGGTCGGGTTGGTCGGGCAGCCCTTGTGCGTGATTGTCTGGCAGGATATATTGTTGACAACAACACGTAGGAGTGCTTTGTTCTTTCTCTTGGTTATGTTAAAATAAATTCATTTACACTTTAAATCTGTGTCTGTCTACAGGGGCGTGCAGTGTTGTGAACTGGGGGTGGAGTGGAGGACAATCAGGAGAAAGGGAGGAAATCTGGACTGGGCTAGGGGTTTGCTGCTTCCAGACTGAGTGGTTTGGGGGATGAGGACATTACACACCATCACCCACATCTGAATGAGCTCCCCCTCCACGTGGGTGAGAAATTTAACTATTATAGCTCTTGGCAGGTTAGGTGGGTGGGGGACCAAGCTGAACAACAACCCACATTTTCAAAAACATTCCAAAAACTTTTATAAAACAATTCACAACACACCTCCAAAAGCCGTATGTGGCACTACACAAACAGATTGATGGTGTACCTGGGCAGGGAATAGGAGGGTTCCAATGGGAGTCCCCATTGGAAACTGTATGAAGATCAATGAGCTCAGGCATGCTGAGAAATGTAGTCCAAAAAAAACAGAAGAAAAAAAAAAGCCAAAAGAGCTTGCCACCACCACCACCACCAACAGCAATCGCCAATCAACAAATACCCACCCACTCGCTACTCTAAACCCTAAACATTTTATGATATCATAGCAGTTATCATAGAAGCTATAGTAAATAAAAGAAAAAACACATATATTTGTAACATGGTGGGATGGGAAGGGAAAGGAATGGGAGGGGAGGATTCAAGAGGCTTGTCTTTGGGATTCGGATGGGGTCTTTGGGATTGCATACTGATGGAGAGAGACCAGATCAACCGAACATAGGCGGGTGCAAGTGACAAGGACTTTAGGGTGACCATGACTGTGCCCAGGGGAGACTCCCAGTGAGAGTTAGGACTGCTCAGTGAGAGTCCGGGGGCTGGGAAGGCCGGGTGGTTTATATGAGTCTCCTGCTGTAATATATTAGGAAAGACATTACAGGAGATAAATTGGTATTTGCCTCCCCCTACTGGAATCTGTGGGGACTGAGACATGAGGCTTAACATGCTCAAAAATGGCATTTGTGCAAACAAGAAGGCCGTGTCATGCGAACAAAAATGGACCGCACCAAAAAAAAAGCCGTATTAAAATTTTCAGGCACTCTACGTTGACACCCGTGTCATCTACACACACCCGTAGTTTTTTGTATTGCCTCTCTCGATCAGTTTGCTAAAAAAAAAAAGTTCATTAAACCTCCGCATTAGATACTGGGAAACCTTTGGGGAAAGTCCAGTGAAGTACTGAGCTATCTGCCCCAATGTTTGTTAATTGGTACTCCCTCTCCTCAGCCTGTCAGTACCAGTGTTGCATTAAATTAGATTTTTCTTACTTAGTTTGTTATCTCTGTCAGGATCTGCTCAATAAACTTGTGCAAATCCCCAAATCTCCTTCTCAGTGAAGGAAGGAATAAAGTCCATCTCAAATTAGACTCTTTGGTGATATCTATACATGCCTTTTAGGCATGATTAGCCTAAAATCACCATTTTTAAGATGCCTTAAGGGCATGGGTCTACACGTGTGCCCTTAATGCACCTTAAAATGGTGATTTAAGGCCAAACATGCCTAAATTTGATACCTGCATAAAGCAGGTATCAAATTTAGGTGCAAATAGTTAAGGTACCTTGCGGTACCTTAAGGCTGAGTATGGCAACTGAGCAGGCTGGAGGTGAGCCCGCAGAGCCCCGTGCTGCTGCCAGGCACCACCAAGCAGCAGCCATGGTGGGTACTGTTCTCCTAGGTGCAGATGCTAGCAATGTAGTGGAGGTTCTAGCAGCAGTGGTACCTGTCAGTGTGCCAACCAATTTGGAACTTGGACCGGCAAGGTACCGCTGCTACTGGAACTGCCACTTCAGCTCCAGCTTGTGCACCTTGGAGAACAGCACCCACCACTTCTTGGTGGTGCCTGGCAGCAGCATGGGGCGCCACAGGCTCAGCTCTGGCCCACTTTTGACTGACCTGGGGAGGCAGGAACACAGGGAGGGGATTATAGCTGGGGCCAGGGCCAGGCCAGGCCAAACATGTTGATGGGGACTGGATGATCCCACCCCCTTGGCCAGCACTGGGCTGCATCGCCCAGCTATGCTGCCATGGGCTTCGGGGCATGCTGCCATGGGCTTCAGGGCACCAGTGGGCAGCTCAGTATCCTGCAGCCAGGCCCAACACTGGGTGCAGCTGCCTCAAGTCGCTAGACATGGCCTGGAGGTTCAGGCACCCCTTCTGCTTACTTGGAGCTGAGCCAACTCTGGCTACACTCTAGCGGCTCCAGCAACGCATATGCCACTGACACCCCACAAGTGGGCACACCCTGCACCTGTCTCTGAGCTCCCTGGCCAGGAATGCGCTCACTGTTCACACTGCCCCCAGCCACTTTCCCTCTATCCTATATCTCTAATTTTCAGTGTGCACTTATGATGTTGTCTGTACATGCTTCAGTGGGAAGAAGGGAGCATGGAAATATCCACCTTTGTAATTCTCTGGAGAAACTTCCTTACAAAATCTCATGAAGGTGAGTTCCAAGCAATGGCCATGTCAACCTAAGACAAGTTGCCTGGAATGTGAGTGACTTGTGTAGCTGACAACTGCCATGATACTGAAAAACTGGCAAATTTTATTCAAGCTAAACCTGAACTAATAAAGATATTTAAATACGCAGTTTAAAGCCCATGGACTCTACATTTGTCAGTCACATTTAAAATCATATTTGCTGCAGAAGGGCTATTCATATGTATAAGGTAAAGACTGTGTTTATGTTTACCTGGACTGATGTCATGGCTGTCTTGATGTCTGCTTGTGTCTTGAACTTCCATACACTTAGTACTGGAATACGCTTTGGATGCAGCAGGTCAAAAGCTTTCAGGGTTAACCTGATGTGAACTGGGGATTAGGAGAGAAAGAGATCATTTTGGCATGAGATTCACAGTCAACCTTTAATTCTTAATTTTCTATTTAAGACATCTACTATTATTTCTGTTCCAACAAAGGCATCAACTGAGACTTAAGCCCTGCTGTGCTACCTCACTATAAATATCTATATACATGAGCACACAGTGACAAACAATCTCAGCTTCGCAGCCCAGTTTAATTTAACAAGGCAGACACAAGGTGGGAGGAGACAGAAGCAAAGGGAGGTGAAGTGCTGTGATAGCATTTCACTAGGAAACAGCTTTTTCTATTCTTATCTGTTTGATCCTATTTAACTATTGTTAAACTATTGTTTAAGTGTTCGTATTAATGGAACAAGGGCTACCATCAGTTCTGGGATGCAAGAAAAGCTCCACCTCTGGTGGGCAAGGAAGAAACTAATGGGACAAGGAAACAGAAGGAAGAAATATTGATTTCAAAGAAGGGTTCCCTTTAAAAACTGGTTACCCACAGAGAACAGAATGTGGCTTTCCATCACCCTGATCATCACTTTTCTCAACTAATTATTTGTTCTTCCAGGTTCATAATTATATGTAGAACCTTGGTTCCCCTCACTTTTCCTACTTTTAAATTCCATTTTTTTCCAAAATCTTCCGCATAAGATCTTGCATCTGGTATGTTAACCTGGCAGCCAATCCCAAAGCCATATCAGGACTGGATGAGATACACCCAAGAGTGCTGAGGGAGTTGGCTAAGATTGCAGGGCCATTGGTCACGATCTCTGAAAACTCATGGTGATTAGGAAAGGTCCTGGATGATTGGAAAAAGGCAAACAGTGTCCATAGTCAAATAAGGGAAGAAGGAGGATCCAGGGAACTACAGACCAGTGAGCCTCAACTCAGCCCCTGGAAAAATCATGGAGCAGATCCTCAAGCAGGGCCATTCTGGAGGGGTGGGGGTGTGAATCAGGGCGACTGCTCCCGGCCCCATGGCTTGTGGGGCCCCACGGAGCAGCTGCAGCAACTCCACACTGCTGCCAGTTTCACAGCCAGCCGGCCACTCGACACGTCCCCTCCCTGCTGAATCGGTGTGCATTTCTAAGCACCTGGAGAAGAAAAAGGTAATTAGGAAGAGTCAGCATGGATTCACCAGGGGCAAGTCATGCCTGACCAACCTGATTGCCTTCTATGATGAGATGACTGGATCTGTGGATGTGGGGAACTGGTGGATGTGGTGTACCTTGATTTTAGCAAGGCTTTGGATACAGTCTCCCACAGCATTCTCACAGTGTTGCCCTGTGGGGTCAGGCCAACACTCAAGATCTCAATAGCACACTGTTAGACAGGAGGGCATGGTGTACAATTGCACATGCACACACTCAAAAATAAATTGGGCACATACACACACTACCAACTCAGGCACATACACACCCAAAATTACCAGCCTAGGCACATGCACACCTATCACCAATTCAAGCACCTACACACGATACACACCAAAAGTTATACACAAAAATCAATTGTCAATAACCACACACTCAGTATACCCATACACAGATTACTAATTCGTATATCATGCATACAATGACATGTATTATATATATATACATACACACACACACACGCACACAAACTCACAAGTTAACAAACACACAACCCACCTACACATATACACAGGTAAGTTCCTAACTTGGATGGTACAGTATGTATGTGTGTGTTTGGGGTACTTGTGATACTTGGGGGAAGGTTAAGGTGAGAGAGAGAGTTACAGTGTAGGGAGTGAAACTTGCTGGAACCGGGATTAGAACCGATGGACTAGAGAGAAGCTGACTGAGGAACTGAGGCTTGGGGTTACTTAAGGTCAAGTGGCCCCGAGGTTACTCGGGCTCATCTGGTGCCAGGGTGGAAGCAAGGGAAAAAGCCCAGTGGCAAGTAGGAAACAGCCAGGAGACAGAGGCAGAAAGCTGGGAGATCAGGGGAAAAGGCAGTGGGGACAAGGCAATAACAGTAGCAGAAATCAGGAGAAAAGACAGTGGGGATGAGACAGTGGCAAAGAAACAGGGGTTTGCAGGCAGAGAGGAGCTCAGGACCACTGGAGCCACAGGAGCATGGGACAGGCGTTAGAGGTGGCAGTAAGCCAGAAGCAGGAGAGGGAGAAATGAGACAGAAGTTAGAGGGACAAGGAGCAGAGATTGAAGCGGGGCTGGAACTGCAGTAAAGCAAAACCCAACTCAGGGGTCCAAATAACAGTTTTATTAAATGAACACTGTACTGTACAGCTTGGTTCACACACACACACACACACAATGGTAGCAGGAGAAAGACTCAGTGGAGGGGTTGGAGTCCAGGTAGGGAAGAGAAACAGAGTCTAAGTCCTTGGTTGAAGAGGGGGTCAGGGGTAATAGCTACCTATCCAGGCTGGAAAGGGGTCCTTGTCCAGTAGGTGTTGTGCAGAGGGGGGTTGCCGGCAGGGCCTCTGGGTGGATAGGTGGTGTGGCATGGTGCTGGTCCAGATGGAGAGGGCATCCCAAGGAGTCAGTCTTCACTACCCCTTTTATGGGGCAGACTACCTCTGGGGAGAGCCTGTCCAGGCAACGCCAGTCCTGTTCCAGAGGGCTCTAGGTGTTCTTACTGAGCATGTGCAGCCTTGGCACAATGGTGGGTTGCATGGGCAGCGGCTCTGCAGAAAAGGACCTGGGGGTTACAGTGGACAAGAAACTGAATATGAGCCAGCAGTGTGCCCTTGTAGCCAAGAAAGCTAATGGCATACTGGACTGCATTGGTGGGAGTGTTGCTAATATGTCCAGGGAAGTGATTATTCCCCTCTATTCAGCACTGGTGAGGCCACATCTGGAGTACCGTGTCCAGTTGTGCCTCCTCCTCTCCACTACAGAAAGGTTGTAGACAAATTGGAGAGGGTTCAACAGGGGGCAACAAAAATGGTAAGAGCCTGGGGGACATGACTTATGAGGAAAGACTGAGGGAACCTGGCTTATTTAGTCTAGAGAAGAGAAGACTGAGGGGGGACTGAGCAGCCTCCAACTACCTGCAGGGTGGTTCGGAAGGGGATGGAGCTAGACTGTTCTCAGTGGTGGCAGATGACAGAACAAGGAGCAATGGTCTCAAGTTGCAGCAAGGGGAGTTATGTTAGATATTAGGAAGAATTTTCTCACTAGGGGAGTGGTAAAACCCTGGAACAGGTTACCTAGAGAGGCGATGGAAGCTCCATCCTTGAAGGTTTTCAAAACCTGGCTAGACAAAACTTTGGCTGGGATGATCTAGCTGGTGATGAACCTGATGTGAGCAGGGGGTTAGACTAGATAAACTCCTGAGGTCCCCTTCCAATCCTAACTTTCTATGATATGCACAACATTTAGAAGCTGGTTGTCAGGTAAGTTGCCATATTCCTCTGCATGAAAATTATTGAAAAATGTAACCCAAAAATACATAGAATAGTTGAGGCAGCATAGATACAGGATGCCATTATTAGACTAGTAGTATACATGGTTTTATTTGCAATATACAGTACAACCTCAGTATAACAAACTCCGGCTTTTAACAATCCCAACAGCATGAATATTTTTCTTTTAATTCTGAACTTTACCATAGCGAATACATTTTTAAAGAAAATTCTCTCAGTCTCACAAGTGTTCCTTATAATGAAGTTGTAATGTATTGCTTAATCTTTCTTCAGCTACTTCAGCTATTATTTTATATCAGCAACATTTTTTTCTCATTCTTATTTTGTTTTTGACTGAAGTCTCAGAGACTCTAAACAAACATCTGCATTTAATTCCTGCATGTGTTTAGAACTGTCTATTATCTTCACATAAGAACCTCTCTGGAACATCAACTAAAAAAAATATTCAGAACATGTTTTGTGATTTGCTACTACAGTGCATGATGAATAATTTTTGGAGGAGAAAAATTCAGTGGGGCCAGTATTGAAAAGAAGCAGAATGAGTTACAAGGCTGGATTATTTTATATTTCCTTTTAGTAAGTTGATATACAGTCTTTCAGTATGGTAATCCTATGCATGGGCAGAGAAATGCATATGACATGCAATTATTTTCAGTTTATTCCAGGGAATATTCTTTCCACCAACTCAGGAAAAGAGTCATTTTATTGTTACTGTATTAGCACCCAAACAACTTACTATGGGCTAGGGCCCTCTTGTTTGAAGCACTGTTCAAATAAGCTCTCCAAAGAGTGCCCTAGTGAACTGAAAGTCTTGAATTTTGGCACTCTGTAGTACAAGTGATAAGCTGACAAACAAGGAAAGGAGATGGGGAAAGACAGTCAGGGATGTTTGCGTAAGTACATATTCACAATGGTCTCAGTAGGTTGGAACACCAGTGCTTTGTAACAAAACCTGAAAGGCGCTTCACCATAGCACGATGCCCCTATGTCCTTCCCACAAATGAAATCCAGTTGTTTCAACAAGTGCAGATGTCTAGTAGCATTGTGTTCCCATAGCCCGTGTGCAAGGGCAATCTGGAATCAGAAGTGATCCTTTAGTGATTTTCTATTTTGTATAGAACTTCTCTAATTAGGTTTTTAGCCCAAGGCTGCACTGCACAGGTGTTTATATAGAAGAGAGCAATTCTGTGCTTGAGGAACAATAATTTTACTTTTCAACTCCTTTAAGGAAACAAGGCTCAAGTTGACAGCATTAGAAAGATGGGGGCCTCTTTTCTGATACAAGCCAGTTATAATGCCAGCACATTACTGTTACTATCCTTCTACTTCTAAGCAGGAGCAGCTGCTTCTGTATCTATGCAACGTCATGGCATTTTCACAGCTTTTTAAAATGGAAATGGTTAATTTCATTTGGTAACGTCTAAGAAAATGATACTGAATACTTATGTTGTGCGATGAAGTAGAACATCTTGTATCAGGTTTGCTTTTTTTCTCCTTTTTTGGCTTAATGTGATACATGTCTTAGAACAGCCTGAAAGGCAGCATCTTGGGAAACAAGCAACTTGAATTGATGATGTTACAGCAGGAAAGATGTTTGGCATATGTATTGGACAAGCTGAGCTACCAACTTGCTGAGCTAACAGCTGCTATCAGTAAACTTCATGGGGAAAAAAAGCAAAAAAACCAACAGATGCCTATTTGAGTTGAAGATGAGCTTGTTTGACAGCAGGGAGGAAATAATACCTCCCTAGTTTTAGGATTATGTTAATTATACTGTTCTAAGACAAGATGTTTTGGGAACACAGATCACCCTTTTGATAGCTTCAGTCATTAATTGCTCTGGTATTTCTAACACACATCTTTCTTCCAACTAATTTCTCAGTGACAACACTGAGACCGCTTGCTTCAGCTTCCAGACAAAACCTTCAAAACCAGACTGCTAGGAGACTGAATTATCACCAGCAAACTTCAGTAATTAAAACAGTGTATTATCAACATTTCTTTATATGCCTGAATATTCTGATGGCACTAGAGTTCTGAGAGCAGTTTCACTTTGACATTCTTCTACCTATCAGAGACAGAAGTTTACACATCTCTCATTTAGTAACTTGGCTAGAATGTCTAAATACGCATCAAGTTACTGAAGCATTTTGAGCCCCTCTGATGGAAACAGTTCTTTACATCCAGGCAATGATCACAAATTTCTCTTAAATGTTTCTTGGGGTTCCTTAGCCATACTCTTTATACAACAGCAAATTGTTATTGATAGATTTTTGGTTGATAGATTTTATGGGTATTTCTAAGGTAATATCATGGGTGGATCTAGGATTTTGAAAAGGGGTGTGCAGATGATGAGGCACCATTATATGAAACATATTAAAGAGAAGCTACAAGCTTTACTTATATGCTAGGGGGGCTAGCACTAGCACTATGTTATTCAGTTTAAGAACAAAACAAAAGCAAATACAACTATTGGAATGTACACTCATTTGCTAGATTATATATAATGTTAAAAAACACAACTAAGGTTCACTAGGCAAAAATTGTCAAACGATACTGTGTCATTAGTCCTGTAATCACTACTGTTGAATGCATCTCTCTCATTCAGATTCATAAAACAAAAGTTAGCCTCCCTGATTATCTTGACAGCGCCTCCAATACTTCACTGTCAGTCATGTC